ACAAAATAGAGAAACATTTTTATGTGAAACACTGAGTTAAATGCTAATCATATACGACAACTTATAACTTTCAAAGTATGTTCCAGAATTACATCACTGCTAAAAACCACAAACATATCTGGCTTCAGATTTGTGAAAGCTAAATAGAAGTTTATAGTGTTTTAGATGGAAATAATTTCACCAAAGAATCCAGATGGCATCATAAACCACAACAGAGCAGATCAAGTGGTCTATGAAGTCATTCTTTGCTGTTACCACACACTGAAATGTACAATGCATTTATTATTTAATGAATGCCACACTATTACAGAATCTTGGAAATCAGAAAAAAACTAAAATGGTAAAATTTCATTCAACCAAAAGTAAGTTTCAGCTTTCATAACTTTTAAAAATAATGCAGTATATATTTTTAAAAGACATATTTGGATGGTTTAACCCATCATTCTAAAATCCAGATGACCATAAATTACCACAAAAACAGTTTTAATATGCATGTCCTTCAAGTACTTGGTACAAGCACACTTCACAGGAGCTGATGCAGCACCCTGAAGTGATGGGGTGTGTGTGTGTGTGCAGGGATGTGTGTGGGGAGCCTATGGCTTCCAGCCTGAAGCCTGCTGATAGCCAGCTCTGGTCGCTGAGGTGAACCCACCTCTCCAGCCCTCTTTCCCTCGCTGAGAACCAAGATATCCTGGCTGTGGTCAGGGATGCTCAACTTGCTTCCAAAAATCCTGGACTGGCTCTTGGCTCTCCTGTGTTAGAGACAGACTAGTCTGCAGTTCCAGTGCCACACCAAGGCCACTCCTCTCTGTACCTGGAGAAGCCCCTCTTGCCTGGTGGGCACAGGTTTCTAGGAAAGAAAAGTGTGACTTGCTTCTACAACAAAGTGGGGTCCTGGCCTCACAGATTTTGAAAGGCCTTTGGAATTTTCTCTAGTCTTCATGTTGCACAACAAAGGTGCTTTGGTTTCTTGTAGCCACAAGGTCATTGAAAACAACTGGGAAGACTGCTAGTTCCAGTTCTGCCAGAGACAACACCCTTCTGTGAGAGACCGGGCTGTGACGAATGATGCCCTTGCACTTATGGTCAGGAACTGAGCATGACAAAGATGTAAGAGAGAGCACCTGGTGAATGCTGACATGCTGGGAGCTGAAGGAGAAGTGCTGGACTGAGGGAGCTTCAGGTTCCAGACAGGTCCTACTGGTAGCTAGCCCTGTCCGCTTGGGTGAATCCACCTCTTCAGCATGTCTCAACTGGCTGCTGTGATCCCAGGACTGACTCTCAAATCAGAGACTAACCAGACTGCAGCTCTGGGAAATGACTCTGGAGGGACTGTCAGCATCTGCCTAGAGTGCAGATTTCGGAATCCTGTCTTCCTGGATTTTGAGGCACCTCACTTCACTCACCTACTTAAGTTGTCCTATTGCCCTAGTGCCAGGTACGAGTCCCTACCTGTACAATTTCAACCTGAATACTACCCGTGCCAAGGGTACTTCAGCAGGTTAATGAAAAAGCAGATGTAGATCTGATCATATTACTCATTGCAAATCCATCAGTGGCTCCTTAATGCCTTTAGATGCAAGGGCATACTTGCTGGCATAGGGCAGAAAACCTTGCCTCCCCAGCTCTGTTGTCTAGTGCTCTTGTATGCCATGATCTAGGTTCCCAAACACGCCATACCATTTTCTGCCTCTCTACTCTGAACACGCTGCTTGCTCAGCCTGGAGAACCCTACTCCGCCACCCACCATATGTTTTTAATTTCCCATCTTTTACAGGCCAGAGCGTGAAGCCTAGCCTAGCTTATCAACATGTACTCCATTATTTCACACTTGATTCTGTCATTGCATGGAGAAGTGGGTCTGTGTTTATTTCTTGGCTTGCAGTTGTTGGCTTTCTTTTTTACCCTGTCAGTCTGTAGTGAGTTCACTTTTGTGCTTCTAGTCCAGTTCTTCTTACCTAGTGTATAACTGCTCATTGCATGCTGAGTGAGTGAATGAATCCATTCTCATAATCAGGAGTGTAGCTCTAAAATCCAACATCACACTTATTTCAAGCATGATGTTAATAGCTTTTTTCTTTTATACAAATATTATCTATTTGAATGTCAGTTACAGAAAGAGGGAGAGACAGAGAGAAAGAGATCTTCCATCCACTGTTTCATTCCTAACTGATCATAATTACCAGGGCTGTCAGGCTGAAACCAAGGGCCAGGAGCTTCATCCAAGATGTCAAGTAGATGAGAGAGGCTCAAACATTTGTGTAACTTCCACTCCTTTTCCTAGGTCATTAGCAGTGAGCTGGATCAGTAGCAGAGTAGCTGGAACATAAACCTATACCCCTATGATAGGCCAGCATCAAGGGTAGCAGCTTTATTTACTATGCTTCAATGTCAGGCCAACTATCTTTTTTTTTAAAAAAAAATTATTTATTTTTAAGGTTCTATTCATTTTTATTGGAAAGACAGAAAGGAGAGACAGAGATAAAGTTCTCCCATCCACTGGTTCACTCCCCAAATGGTTGTTATGGCTGGAGCTGAGCCAATACAAAGTCAGGAATGAGGAGCTTCTTCCAGGTCTCCCACATGGGTGCAGGGATCCCAAGGCCCAAGATATGGGCTATCTTCCACTGCTTTCCCAGGCCACAAGCAGGAAGCTGGATGGGATGTGCAGCAACCGGGACACAAACCGGCGCCCATCAATTCAGAATCTGAGTCCAATAAGGTTTAACATAATTTGCTTTAGTTCTAGAGAAAGAAGAGATGCATAAGATCCATGAAGCAGCTTACTACAATATATTTAAAATGCTCTTGAAGAGTGTATACATCTAAATGACAGAGTATTTAGAAAGTAACCATCTATTCACTGAAACAGTACATCAGGATTTCTATTTGGAAAATATTTACAAATAGTTTCTAATTCATATATTTTATTCGTTCATGTAGGACTTCCTCCGAATTACAGGTACTTCTACCTTTAGCTATTGCTGCAAGTACTTATCGCCCAACAGCATGAAGGAATGTGCATGCACATATTAGCCAAACTCATGTTAAAAACAGAACTATGTCAAACCATGAGCTGGAATACATTGTTTATGAACCGAAACAAAATTCCACAGTTGCAATTATATAGTTTATAAACATTTCTTTCAAAACTGCTTGGGAAGACAGTTAGCAAGTACACTGAATTTCCAAGTCTTCACCACTGTGTGAAGTCAGCACCCCACCTTGTGGAAGAAAGCAGGCAGTGGCGAGCAGAAGCATAGCCTGATAATCTTACAGGTCCTCCAGCCATTTGCCACTTCAAATTCAAACCCTCACTGCAAAAAAATGAACCAGAGGAAACCCTGTTTATTAAAGCAGCAGCAGCAAAACCTACAAGCTTCCAAAATAACAAAAAAGCCTGGCTCAAAACCCTGGGGCTTATTGTATCTATTTGTTTCCTGAAAGAAAAAAAAATTCCATATTAATATTACCCTTTCTACTGAAGTTTTTTTTTTTAACCTCTTTTTAGCTTAGTTTCTAACAAACAAACAAACAAAACAAAAAACAGCTGGTTTCTAATTGTAATCTTAGAAAATACTGGAAAATGGTAAAGCATAAAACAAAAAACAAAAAAAAAGTCAATTAATATCCACTACCACCATGCCGGGCCAAAGCCAGGAGTCCAAACTCCTCCTGGGTCTCCTCTGTGGGGAGCAGGGATCTGAGTACTGGAGCCATCACCTGATACCTGCAGTGTGCATCAACAGGAAGCTGGAATTGGCAGCAGAGGCAGAATCTGACCCCAGGCACTCCAATAAGGGATGAGCACATCCAGGCAGTGTCAGCTGCTGCACCAAGTGTCTGCCCCCTAGTTTGTTCAGGCCCCCCACTGGGTGCCATCATTTACTCCTGCCTTACCATTCTCTTAGGCTGAGCTAGGAATCCTGCACTCCAGACTCGCTGTTCTCTTGGGCCCAGCTAGGAGGTCTTCACACAGCATCTGCCTTCACTGCCACACCGAGGGATTCCTTTGCAAGGATGGGTGTCCAAATCCCTGGACCTAGTCTCTTTGGGCTGGTTCCTTTGTTGTGGTGAAACACTCGCTCTCCACCAAAGGACCTTTGGGCAGTTCGTGTAAATACCTCCCACCACTGTTCTAACTCACCAGTGTAAATTCCTTTTCTTGTATTTTTTATGGAAGTTTTTGATATCTTGTCTTTATCACTAGGTTCTGAAAAGACAGGCGCTATACCTTGTTGTGGCTACAGTTTAATTAGGGTGGGATAGCCCTTCTAGTTTGAATGTCATGTCCTTGCTCTGGTAACTTCTTGGGTCACTGTTTTTTGTTTTATTTTGAAATTTTCTTATGCCCTGGTCCTTCGTGAATGGCAGACCTCCAAGATGCAGTTTGATTTGTCTCATTTCCTTACTTTGCTCTCTGGTTTTTCTTATTCAAATGCTTCAGAGGAGAGCTCTCCAACATGATGTCTTAGTCCTTTATTGATTTATACCATTCTTGACAGTTGAAATGTAATAACCATGACCTTTCTGAGTTTTTTTTTAAAGATAGATTGCAGTTGTTCTCCTAAGGATATGGTGTCTCTCATTTCTGTGAAAATAACTATTCCTTGAGGCTCCTCTCTAACCTTTTCTCCAATTTCTTTGCTTAAGTTCCTTTCACTAATTGTTAATTTGGGCTCCACTTATGTTGGAAGCTTTCCTCAAACGTCTAAGAAAACGCAGGTGTTGATTAAAGGAGAGGAAAGGTGGGGCGAGTTTGGGGAAATTCCTTCCCAGCCCACTTGGCAAAGTCTGGAGACACCCTGGGTTGCCATGACTGGTGGTAGGAACAGGGAAATGGTGACAATGCACTGGCACATGGTGGATGGTAACCAGGGATGTTGCTGAGTATCCTACAACACAGGATGCTGCTCCCACCCATGCTTTATCTGGACCAGAACGTCAACAGCACTGTGACTATGAAATCTTGGTTAATAATAAAGTATGAGGTATTAAACGACTGGAAACTCTGTATCTTCAAGACTAAATGATAGTCAAGAACTGACATAAGAATCTACAACTCTGTCCTCTTGGGTAAATAAACATCTTCTACACTATTTTCCAACTTTCTCTCTGGAAGATATGAACGCAGGATTCAGGAGACTGATTGAGAAAGATGGTCCAAGAAGTACATGTTGTGGGAACAAGGTTAGATTTTTTTACTTTTCTACAGTTCCTGTTTAAGGCAGAGTTTCACCACAATGCTAGTGCTCACCAGCCCAAAACCTATTCAGTACAACTTTACTAGCAGTCAAAACTCTTGGTTTACCACTGGCAAACCAATGCATACATAAACACTCAACCAACAGGTTCATGTCCAGTATCACAGTGCATCCCATGCCACTGAATTCTTGATGCTTTTTTTTCTATCTCCAAATATACTAAAAACTTGAGGGCAAGAAGCACTTCCTTTTCCTATCTGTATGTCTCTTAAAACAGACCAAATCTTTCACACAGAAATTGCAATACCCATTTTCCATTTGCAACGATTTTACTTTGCAGGAGGCGTAGCTTCCAGTGAGCTGTTAACCTTTAAAAAAGCAAATGCATTAGGATCGCAAGCACCACAAGGTATGTGATGATTAAGGCACTTAAATCCAGGGCCCGGCGCGGTGGCACAAGTGGTTAAGGTCCTCGCCTTGCACGCCCGGTATCCCATATGGGCGCCGGTTCTATCCCAGCAGCCCCGCTTCCCTTCCGGCTCCCTGCTTGTGGCCTGGGAAAGCAGTCAAGGATGGCCCAAAGCTTTGGGACCCTGCGCCCGTGGGTCACCCGTGTGGGAGACCCGGAAAAGTCTCCTGGCTTCAGATCTGCATAGCATCGGCCGTTGCACTCACTTAGGGAGTGAATCATCGGACGGAAGATCTTCTTCTCTGTCTCTCCTCTCTGTATATCCGCCTTTCCAATGAAAAAATAATAAAAATAAATCTTTTAAAAAAAGGTACTTAAATCCAAACATTCTCCAGGTGGAAGGATGCCTTCAAAGCCATAGAGAAGCCTTTTCACATGCAAGAAAGGAAGACCACTCCCCAGCAACGACAAAAGGTATTCTCCCACAGGAGTGCAGCCAACCTCTGCTGAGGTTCCCCTTCCCAGATCTGTCTGTAATATTTACCAAGACTCTCATGCTATCAGACATTCTGAAGGCCAGCCCTTTGCTGCCTCTACAGAAAAGCCAGCCAAGACAGGCAACTCAATGTTTAGTTTTTCACTGCCACCTCCTGGTGGCAGAAGGAGTGGACATCAAGCAGGGACAGGCAAGGTGGTGAGAAAAGCACTCAAGCCACAATGAGATTCTTTCAACCTATGGAGAAAATATCCAGGACCATTTCTGAACCCTGGAGGACCTTTTGGGGGAAAAAAGGGAGAAAGGAAGAGTGAATGAGAGGAGAGAGGGCTAGGGAAGAGGAAAAGCAGAGAAGAAAGGAGAAGGAAAGAAAGCAGGTGCACAGGAGTCAGCAGATGGTCCATGCCGGTTTCCAGTCCCAAGGCAGAGGCTGTTGATTCACGTGGTGCTGTGAAACATTACAAAGATGCTTGGACACAGGGATGTTCCACTTAGAGGCTTCCCAGGGGAAAATGACAGTAACTGCATGCTTACCCACACCAGAAACTCTGAAATCATGCTTGCTTCTATAAAGCAGCAGACAGACCAAAACATCCAATCACTCCGTTTTCCTCAGAGTGAGACAGGTAGTGGTAAGGAGGGGCTTCAAGGCCGGTTCCCATGTGGGCACCTCCCTTCCCCTCACCAGTGTCCCCCCTCTCCCTCCACTCACTCTGCTCTAGGCATTAGGAACTCTCATAATTCCCTCAGCACCCAGAATACCTTACTCTGTGACTCTTTCAGAGCTTACTCCCTCTGCCAGCAACGTGCTTCTCCAGGGTGTCCCTGCCATCTTGGAGGCCCTACTGGCCATCATAGCCTTTTGGCCCCATCAGAATTCCCCACGCACCAGTTCCTGTGTGATGCCACTACGGCACGAGCTAGCTAACGGTGACTCTCTGACTCATCACATCCAGTTCGACCCCTTTCTCAGCTCCTGGTGGAGAAGCTGCCCGATGGCAGGTGTATTTCAGGTCTGTGTTCACTTGTGATCCCAACAGCCCTCAATAATAACTTGCAAAATGGAAAAAAAAAATACTTACTGTTGAATCAACTGGTTTCTTTTAATCTTAGAATGCTGACTACTATAGCATTATAAATTTGGGAAAATTGAAATCCTCTATACATACTTAAGCACCAGGGACCTCTCACTGTATTTATTTAGACTGCTTCTTATGTCTCTCAAAGAACTTTTGCTAATGTGTACCTAGTGATCACTGCTCTTACTAAAGAGCCACTCGCAGTGTTGGATGTTTAAGGTATCAGCTGTGGCCTGGATAGAGTTTGGATTCAGCCCCCCTGAGGGTTCCTGGGTTGGAGCCTGGATTCCAGAGTGGCTTTCTGAGAGGTACAGAAGCTTTAGGAGGTGGAACATGGTGGGAGGTCACTGACACACTTCCCTCTGAGATTCGGGTAGCTCCCCTCAGACTCTGGCTAATTCTTGGGAGAGACCTGTCAACAAAGGGCAAGCCTGATTCCACACCATGGTGCCAGGGGCTTCGTGTTCAAGACTGCTCCTTCCCTCTCACAGGCACGCCCCCCATAAACCAGCACCTTTACTGGGCCCTCACCAGTGGCTGAGTCACTGGGTTAATCATGAACTTTTGGCCTCCAAAAGTGTGTGCAAAACCAACATCTGCTTTTTAACAAAAGTCTTTCAGAAAGTTCACGTGCAATCAAAAGATTTCTGTTGTAGTGTGCCCAGTTAAGCTGCCACCCACAATGGTAGTGTCTCACGTAGGTGCTGGTTTGAGGCCCAGCTGCTCTACTTCCGATCCAGCTTTCTGTTAATGCACCTGGGAAATGAGTGGCAGATGTCCCAAAGTGCTTGGGCCACGAGGCCAGGAGGGAATTCTTGACTTCTGGCTTCAGTCTGGCCGAGCTCTGGTCATTAGGGGAGTGTACTAGCACATGGAACATCTCCTTCTCACTCTTTCTTTAATACTTTCAAATCAATAAAATAAATCCTAAAATTTTTTTGAAATCCATGTAGTTTTTTAAAATTTTTTTAAAAAGATTTATTCATTTTTATTACAAAGTCAGATATATAAAAAGGAGGAGAGATAGAGAGGAAAATCTTCTGTCTGATGATTCACTCCCCAAGTGAGTGCAACGGCTGGTGCTATGTCGATCCGGAGCCAGGAGCCAGGAGCCAGGAACTTCCTCCAGGTCTCCCATGCAGGTGCAGGGTCCCAAGGCTTTGGGCCGTCCTCGACTGCTTTCCCAGGCCACAAGCAGGGAGCTGATGGGAAGTGGAGCTGCCGGGATTAGAACTGGCGCCCATATGGGATCCCAGTGTGTTCAAGGTGAGTACTTTAGCCACTAGGCCATGCTGCTGGGCCCAATCCATGTAGTTTTTCAAAAATATGTATTGGGCCAGGCACACTAGCCTAGCTGCTAAAGTTTTTGCCTTGCATATGCTGGGATTCCATATGGGCATTCTTTTGTGTCCCAGCAGCCCTGTTTCGCATCCAGCTCCATGCTTGTGGCCTGGGAAAGCAGTCAAGGACAGCCCAAAGCCTTGGGACCCTGCACCCACGTGGGAGACCTGGAGGAGGCTCAAGGCCCTGGCTTCAGATTGCAGCTCCAGCCGTTGCAGCCACTTGGGGAATAAATCAACACCTAGATCTTCCTCTCTGTCTCTCCTACTCTCTGTATATCTGACTTTCTAATAAAAATAAATACATCTTTGAAAAAACAAGAATAAAAATATGTATTTTTCATTTAGATTTTGAAGATCTCATGTATGCACAGATTTAAAAACTTTTCAATGGGCCCAGCGAAGTAGCCTAGTGGCTCAATTCTTGCCTTACACGTTCCAGGTTCCCATATGGGTGCTAGTTCTAATCCTGGCCACCCTGCTTGACATCTATCCCCATGCCTGTGGTCTGAGAAAGCAGTCGAGGATGGCCCAAAGCTTTGGGACCCTACACTGGCATAGGAGACCTGGAAGAGGCTCCTGGCTCCTGGCTTCGGATCACTCAGCTCCAGCCGCTGTGGCCACTTCGGGAGTGAATCAGGCAACAGAAGTTCTTCTTCTTTGTCTCCCCTTCTCTCTGTATATCTGACTTTCCAATAAAAAAAATCTTTAAAAGAAATTAATTTAAAAAATGTCCAATACCAAAATAAATCAATCATTTAAATTTCATTCTCTCTAAACCCTTGAAGCACCCATGTACTTAATATAGTTCTTCACTGTTACAAGTTTTAAAATTAATAAATAAGCAAATGGGATACACAGCACCTTAGCCTAATGGCTAAAGTTCTTACCTTGAACACTCTGGGATCCAATATGGCCACTGTTTCATGTCCTGGTAGCCTTGCTTCCCATCCAGCTCCCTGCTTGTGGCCTGGGAAAGCAGCTGAGGATGGCCTAAATCCTTGCAACCCTGCACCCGGTGTGAGAAACCTGGAAGAAGCTCTTGGCTCCTAGCTTTGGATTGACTTTGCTGTGGCCATTGTGGCCACTTGGGTAGTGAATCAATGGATGAAAGATTTTCCTTTCTGTTTCTTCTCCTTTCTGTATATCTGAATTTCCAATAAAAATAAGTAAATCTTAAAAAATAAGTAAATAAAGAAGCAAATGGAACAGGTGGCTTAGCATCCTAATCTCCATCTGTGGCACCAGCAGCCGACATTGACACTAGTTTGTGTCCTGGCTACTCCTCTCTGATTCAGCTCTCTGCTTACGATATGGGAGGGCAATGGATGATGAACTAGGTCCTTGGGTCCCTGCATCTACATGGAAGACAAGGAAGAAGCTCCTGGCTCCTGGCTTTGAATCAGCTCAGATCTAGCTAAAGATATCATCTGGAGGGCAAACCAATGGATGGGAGAGGTCTCTCTGTCTCTCCTTTCCTGTAAAATCT